AATATATAAACCAAACAGAACACTTTTTCTTAAGCAAGGAAACAAAAGCTGTAAAATAGATAAAGTAAAAACTTCTGTTGCGTCTGCAGCAAAATTACATAAAACTAGAATAAAACATCAAGACTAACAGTTTACCTTTTGTACAATTTTGTAATGTAAACTGCGCAATAAGCTCCCTAAGATAATTATTTGTCTTTTTTTGAGCTAATTTGAACATTTTTGTTCCAATATCTGGCCATTTGTTTATTACGCTGTTTTCTTTATAACATAATATTTTTCGGGGCTTTCATGGGGGAATATATCGTTTATTTCGTTGGCTAGTTGCGTAAATCTTGCAGAAGAGATTCTACAATAAAAGTGCAACGTATGTATGATAAAAATTGTTTCCAAACTTCAATTCACTTTTTATAACTAATTCAGCCAATTTATTTCTCAAAAAATCTTTATCTGTGCCGTAACTAGCTTTAATGATTTTTCCTTCATAATTCGTTTCAATTAAACGTGAAACCGTCTGGAAAATAATGAGGTACCCACATGTAAACTCCATGTAAGAAACTTTAATTTATCGAGGAATCATTACTGCTTGAAAATACAATGTAAGGAGCATTTAGAACGGCTCTGGTGTTAAAAACTGTAGTAGGTGTTAAAGTGTCGGTAATTTCTTCACAGGGAGACCCGTTACCACCGGTGTAAATTTAAATAAATGGTTTACTGTTCTGAAAACTATCATGACATTTTCTGTTTTTATTTCTTTAGATACTTTAATGGCAGAAGGGCCTAAATATGTTAAAGTATTAAATTTAGAATTTTTAGATGTGACATAAGGGAATACACAGTCTACACTTAATTTCTTTTGTTTTTTAAAAATTAATCTATCTATAAGATTTGTCTCATAACCGTTACTAAACGCTATTTGTTTTATAATGGCTAATTGTATATTGAAGTTGTTTTTGTTTAAAGGTAATTTGCACAATCTATCGATCATACTTTTAAACGCAGAATGTTTATATTGTATGGGGTGGCAAGAATTTTTATGTATTGTTGTGTCAGTATGGGTAGATTTTCGATATTCCGATATTTCAATTTTATTATTTTGTTTTTTAAATTCATATGTTTTTCTTAATAACCGGGTTTTGTAAAGCATTCAACCTAAGTAATGGATTTTAGTCAATTTTTATTTGACGTTTCGGCTCCTTGGTTTTGGGCCATCTTCAGAACTTTTGTATGTTCTA